ACAAGTCACAATCGCCAATTAATCAGTTACCAATCCTTCAATGCTCGCAACATCGCCGGCTTTACAATCACCTCTGCAAAGTGAGAGACCCAACGGATACCGACCGAGTCACCCAAGAGGCTGCACTGACTTACAGCACCAACCCACAAACGCCATGCTCTCTAGCTGGGAGCATAGGCGCGCGCGCGCGCGCGCGCGAGAGAGAGAGAGAGAGAGAGAGAGAGAGAGAGAGAGAGAGCACTTTACTAACAATATAACCTGAATCGTCGGAGAATTCGACCTTCGTTCTCCCACTCGACCACTCAATGCTYTTGATCGCCTAGCAGATTGCACATAATCTGCTTTAATCGCCTATAACGGAGATCGACTACACTGGCCGAGCGTCATTACCACCGCTTTCTTGGAAAAGACGAGAGCCGTGATTCCCATTATTAGACGAAACGGTCCAGGTTTTGAATCGGGAAAACCAATAGGGAGAAGCAGAGAATAGAAAGGGAAGGTCGGAGATGAGAGCCAAAGCATGGTGATGCCCCGGGWACCTACATGAAGAGCCTGAGTCGCTTTGGGTCCTGTGGAGGTGGCGGCGCGTTCGTGGGCATGGTGCCGGACTGCTTCGTGCCGAGATCGCGGAGCCCGGGGATTCCGGTTTTCCCGAGCCACTTCTTGCCATCAATGAAGTTTGTGGACAGGAACGGCTGCACCTGCTTGTCAGTGAGGCCGAAGGACCATCTGGCGCGCTGACCCCTGCGAGCTCCAGGGCCAGAGCACCTGTACTCGGCGTASAAGATGGTCTCCTGCCTGGTCGGGTCGAACCAGTCGTTCCATCCCACGGGGAGAATCACGTTGTCCATGTACGTGTACGCGAAGATGGTGCGGGCGGCACGGCCCCAAGCACGGCCCAAGTAGACCTGCCCGGTCCCCTGCACCTTGCACCGGATGAAGACGAAGCCGGTGGGCTCCTTGGTCGAATCCCTCTTCTGAGCGGTGAGGGCGCCGCCCGTCTTCGTCACGTCGGCGAACAGCAGCGAGTCCAGGAACATCGACCTGCCGTTGCCGAAGATGAAGTCCACGCTGCCGCGCACGTACACGTTCTTGAACAGATGCCTCCCACGGTGGCAGTACAGCGTGTCCTGGTAGCCGTAGAAGCGCACGTTGTGAAAGGCGGCGAAATCACCCGTGATCCGGAAAGCCACCGCCTGTTCCGTGAACGAGTTGGGTCGCGGCCGCGAGGCATGGTTCTGGAAGGTAATGTCCTCTGCAGTGAAGTAGTCCGCGTTCACTCCCACAGACGCCGACAGAAACGTGCCCATCGGCTTCTTGGTCGTCTTCAGCAAGGTCGACGCCCGGTCGCCCCAGCTGATCACCGTCCGGTATGGACCTGAACCCCGCAGCGTGATGAACGGCTTGTTCGAAGGAACGGTTACCTTCTCCGTGTASCGYCCGGGCTTGATGAAGATCACGACCTCTTCGTGCTCTTCACTGGGGCAGCATTGATGGCGGCCTGCACCGTACGGAAGTTCCCGCTCCCGTCCTKGGCCACAACCACGTCTCCCTTCCGACCTGATGAGCGATCGTTGCCGTTGGCGTCCTGGAATCCGACAGCCACGGGGGGAAGAGGTTGCGCACCCACCTTCTCAGTGGCCTTAAGCGTGCCAGTGTTCGGCGTCACCAGGTCAGCTTCACCACCTTTGCCGCTGCAGACACCCGCGGCGAACGGGAGCCCGCCACACGCGGGATCTTCAGTGGCTGACGCCACAGCTGCRATGGACAGCAGCGCTAGCATCGCACCCGCCAGCCAACCCCGACCGGTCGGAGCCATGGCGATCTCCCACACAACCTACGACGCCGGTTGCCAACCCTCCACCACCACGTGCTCGATGTTCTCCTCTTTTTCTTCTCCCGGCGAGTATGGAGTACCTCCTAAGCGTACCGACTCGCTGCGCCCTCTCTGAAGCGGAGCTACTTCGCTCCTCGCAACACTTGAACCGAGAATGAGCATGCCGAATCTTCTCTCGCACCTCGCTTTTGAATTGCCTGTCTCCGTGGGCAGCCGTCCAACAACCGAGGACGCTCTGATCGCCCCTACCAGTGAGAATCGCCCTCGTTGGGGACTTCGGGCATCGCCACACCACTCTCGGAATGTGCAAAATGAGAATGAACGTCCCGCTTCAACATGGCCAGATGCGCACGCCACATTTTTGTCGTTTTCACATTTCGAGAGTGGTGYGGCGAGGTCCTTCGCAGTGTGGCTGGGCGGGCAAGCTGCACGCCACAGGAGGCATGCTCAGGTAGCAGCTCTGCGGGATCACTGGAAAGCGCGGCTTCGACTGCCGGGGAAGATTCCAGCAGCTCCTGTGATCGCGGCTTGTCGTTTAGCACCCGTGGAAAGGAAAGCTCGAGCGCGCGGAAAAGAA